ATCCGGAGCATATCTGGAGTGGCTAATACTCTAGATGTAAGGCAAAAAATAAAAGAAACACGTGAAAGAATTCTTCTAGGAGGTGGTGAAAAACGTTTAGAGGCACAACATAAGCGTGGAAAACTAACAGCTCGTGAACGTATAGAATTATTGGCTGATCCTGGAACTTTTGTCGAGTATGATGCATTCATGGAACATGATTGTCATGAATTCGATATGCAGAAGCAAAAAATTCCTTGTGATAGTGTTGTCACTGGTAGGTGTCATGTTTATGGACGTCCAGTTTATTTATTTAGGTAGGTATGTATAAAATGTTTTTTTATGATAAGAAAATTAGTTTTGTTTTAATAAATTTCTATAGAACTGTAGTTTACTGGTATAGATTTTTGCCTTAATGGTATATTCCACTGTTTTCTATACAAGCTACGAAATACATAGAGATAATTACAGAGTCCATATGTAATAAATACTTGAAATATCTTCTTGTGATGCAATCGGTATCTGTGTTCTTTCTAATCTGCTGTTAGTTTCACTGGTGCTTGGCACCACATCCAAAGGATAAGTCAGTCAGTTGCAACGTAGAACTTCGTACGTAAGTACATCAGTTCATGTCGCCATACCACATCAGCACAGAGATGTAATTGTCAATTCAAGTCCAATAGTAGAAGAGTTAGTAATGGTATTAGAAGTAATCAGAGAGGTTAGGATGAGATTTTTTCAAGAAGTATGATTAAATGAGAAAAGTTTAGAAAGTCAAAACTAGAGGTGCTGAAGAATCCAGAAGATTATGATTTGATAGAACACAAAGAATAAATGCACCGGCGCCATTGCGAACGATTTTGAGCCATGTCATTCAAGGTCTCTAACCATCGATTATTATCATCTCGCGGACCCCAACCAGGTAGTCGACAGTTACCAACATGGCTAAGTCCACTCGTCAATGACTTCATGGATTTCTGCCATGTTTTGGTTTGGCCGCCCCTAACTTTCTTCCAACCTATTCCTACTCTACAAAACAAAGCTCGACGAGGCAGTCGGTGGTTAGGCATACACAACACATGTCCCAACCACCTCAACTGATGAAGTGTCACTACTGCGTCTATTGATCTGCCATTCTTACCTAGCACCCGATTCCTAATAACAGCGTTGCTCACTCGGTTGTCCTACGATATACGAGCAATGCTTCGAAGACACCTATGATCGAAAACCAGTAACCTACGAATATCTTCTACTCTCACTGGCCATGTTTCACAGCCATAAAGTAATACGGAGCGAACTACTGCGCAGTACACTCGTCCTTTAGTCAGCAAACGGATATCTCGCCTACGCCATAAGAGACGCAGGTTGGCAAAAGCCAATCGAGCCTTCTGTATCCGTGCTGAGATTTCGTCAGTCACCAGGCCATCGGCACTGATGAGACTCCCAAGATAAGTGAAGCGGTCTACACGTTCGACTACTTCACATCCAAAGGATAAATAAACTATTCATGTCGATACTTGTATCATAATCCATATTTATAAGATAACTACTACACTATATATAGACTTCGAAAAAGTAGGATTCTTAAATGAGTTTCTCATTGAACTAGCTAAGTTGTTGTTCTCCGAAGATATTTATAAACTTGTTTTGTTAAGATCCTGTGTAAGCTAACGTAATAGCGCTGACAATATCAGGTTGTCAAGGTTTGGTATTCAGTTTTCAAATATTGGTTTTGCAGTCATTTTTTAATTAATGTGGTATGGCAACTTGAACTGATGTACGTACGTACGTACGTACGTTTCTCAGCACGGATACAGAAAGCTCGATTGGCTTTTGCAAACCTGCGTCACTTATGGCGTAGGCGTGATATCCCTTTGCTAACCAAAGGACGGGTGTACGGCGCAGCAGTTCGCTCCGTTCTCCTATATGGCTGTGAAACATGACCGTTAAGAGTAGAAGATGTTCGTAGGTTACTAGTATTCGATCATAGATTTTTAAGAAACATTGCTCGTATATCGTGGGACAACCGAGTAAGCAATGCTGTCGTTAGGAAACGAGTACTAGGTAAGGATGGCAGATCAGTAGATGAAGTATTGAAACTTCGTCAGTTGAGGTGGTTGGGACATGTGTTACTTATGGCTAACCACCGACTGCCTCGACTAGCAATCTTTTGAGGTATAGGTTTAGTCAGGAAGAAAGTTAAGGGCGGCCTGACCAAAACGTGTCAGAAATCCATGAAGTCACTGACAAGTGGACTGAGTCATGTTGGTAGATGTAAACTACCTGGTTGGGGTCCGCGAGACGAAAGTCACCAATGGTTAGAGACCTTGAACGACATGGCTCAAAATCGTTTGGAATAGCGCAAGTGCATCCATTCTTTGAGCTCTCTCAATATCTTAATCTTCTGGATTTGTCAACACCTCTAGCTTTTTCTTTCTAACCTTATCTGACTGAATGATACTTCTTGAATAATATCTTCTAACCCTAGTCTTCTTTCATTACCATTAATACCTCTACTATCTTTATCACTATGGGATTTGATTTGACATTTCTGTCTCTGCTAATGTGCTAATGTGGTATGACAACATGAACTGATGTACGTACGTACGAAGTTCTACATTGTAGCTGACTGACTGACTGACATTCAATCCCTATATTAATTAGTTTATAGTTTGGTGGAATTTCTTTTAAAAACATTTACACTGTGCTTATATGTTTCACTTATATTCTGCATAACATGTTTGTTAAACAAATCCACATTTAATTGTTAATAGTAATTAAAGAAAGTAATGAATTCCTTGCAAGATTAAACTTATTTTTGCAGTTTGTTTGTTCTGTTTCAATACAAATTAAATGTTTTTTTTTAAAAAAATCTTATACAAATTCATCTACTTATTTATTTATTGATTATTATGTCAGTCAAGATTTCACTGTATTCGGTGGTAGTTTAAGTCTTGTTCATTCTCGAAAAATATGTAAAATTATGGATCAAGCAATGTTAATTGGTGCTCCAGTGGTTGGTTTAAATGATTCCGGTGGTGCACGTATTCAAGAAGGTGTTGCTTCTTTAGCTGGTTATGCCGATATATTTCAACGTAATGTCAATGCTTCTGGTGTAATACCACAAATATCATTAATACTTGGTCCATGCGCTGGTGGTGCAGTTTATTCACCTGCACTTACTGATTTTATATTTATGGTTCATGATACATCATATTTATTTATCACTGGACCAGATGTTGTTAAATCTGTTACTAATGAAGATGTTACACATGTGAGTATTATATTGATAGTAAACAAATTATTGGTTATTTTGAATATAATTGCAATCACATCTATGAATAGATGGTTTGTTGTGTTTAAATGTTTATTTTTATGAATACTGTCAGTCTATGTTCTTTTTGTAAAGAATTGACATCACATATCTATGCTTTAGTATTCAACTGAATAGTTACATCAGAATATAATGTATATATACATATATATAATGCTCACTAGTGACTAGCTTCGTGAGGAATCTTCCCCAAGTTCTAGTGGGAAGACGTGACCAGTGAAGTTCAACCTGTTCGGGTGTAGACAGTAACTACTACCGAAGACTGTGTATGAGGTTGCGCAACTCCGTGAATTTGATCAAGTTAGACATTAACACCGTTAGATACCGGCTCAGTGGTCTATCGGTTAGGGCGTTCGCGCACAATACCGAAGGTCCTGGGTTCGAATCCTGCGGGGTGCAGGAGTCGTGGATGCGCACTACTGAGGAGTAACATACCAGGACGAAATGGCCGTCCAGTGCTTCCAGGTTTCTAATGGTGGTCTAACATTGATCGATTCATGGTTTCAAAAATATATATATAGTAGTAGCTTCAGGAATTATCTAACACTTGACTAGAACTTATGAAGAGAAAACTTGGGAAAGCCAGACTTCTATCAGGCTGGTATGTGGGGATATGTAGATTAAATATTTATCCTTTCCTAGATTCTGAAAAGTAGATATGCCTGTCGACTCTCAAAAGCAGTTGTATTTCTTGATTTCAATGAGGCTTTTAACTTCGGGAATCGGTAAGTTTTATGGCAGTATCTATCATTAAATGGTGCAGTAAAGTAGTACGTAAACCTTGTACTAGTAGACCATTGATTGAGTGAAGGCTTATTGTGAATGGTCACCGGGATCGATTGGTAGGATTCATCAAAGTTGTCCATTTTCCATATGTTTTTCTAAACCTTATGATAGACATTCTATTAAAAGTAATTTTCTTATAGCCCGAATTTTCAAAATTCGATTTGGTACAGGAAGGTTCACTTGCTGATATAGAATACACAAGTGGTACATTTTTTTTTACTGAGGACCTTGACAAAGTGCAGTCTTCTGATTGCCTTGAGTAATAATGCAAGCTTGTTTAGGATCCAATCCTGCCTCTCGAAAAGCAAATTGTTGCTTCAAGACTAGTCTACACCAACGCTTAAACTATTGATAGAGAGTGAAGTAGTTGAATACGTAGACCACTCCACTCATCTTGGAAGTCTTCTCCGACCTGATGAGTCAATGTCTGACGGAATCTCACCATTAGTTCGGAAAGTTTGACTAGCTTTTGCCAACTTACATCGCTTATAGTGTAGTCAAGATATTACTCTACCAAGCAAATGATTAGTTTACTGAGCATCACTTCACTGTATGTCGCTTTACTGGTATAAGCCGTGGCCATTTAAAATAGAGGGTATCCTAAGGTTACTAGTATTAGGCTATGTGTGTCTTTGAATCATTGCTCGTGTATGCGAGGAACACCGAATGAGAAATCCTGAGGTTAGGTATAGAGTACTAGGTAAGGATGGCGAATCGGTCGATGAGGCAGTGAATACCCACCGATTTGAGGTTGTTGGGATATGTATTACGTATGTCGAAGTACAGTTTACCTTGACGGTCAGTGTTACGGGTTTACATTATGAACTAATGTCATCCCTAATGTGCAAAAATATAGGAAACAATGTTAGACTAGTTCGTCTGTCAACTATTGTACCATCAACTTCAGGTTTATTTCAGAATTGAGAGAGATTTATTATTAAAAATTAGAATGACTGTCAATTTAAGCATTCTATACATTTAATGGCGCACCTACGATTGAGGAGATCAGTATGGCCATCAGACAAATCAAGAGTGGCAAATCAGCGGGACCAGACAACATTCCAGCAGAGGCAATAAAAGCAGATGTGGAAGCAACTGCGAAAATATTTCACATCCTCTTCAAGAAGATTTGGGATGAGGAACAAGTACCATCAGATTGGAAAGAAGGATACCTGATCAAAATACCAAAGAAAGGCGATCTCAGCAAGTGTGAGAACTACAGAGGCATCACTCTTCTTTCAATACCAGGCAAAGTCTTTAACATGGTATTGTCAAACAGAATGAAGGACTTCATAGACGCCCAACTTCGAGATCAACAGGCTGGATTTCGTAAGGATCGATCATGTACTGACCAAATTGCTACATTACGGATCATTGTGGAACAATCAATTGAATGGAACTCACCACTATACATCAACTTCATTGACTACGAGAAGGCATTCGATAGCGTGGATAGGAAAACACTTTGGAGGCTTCTTCGACACTACGGTGTGCCTGAGAAAATAGTTAACATCATACGGAATTCTTATAATGGATTCAACTGCAAAATCGTACACGGAGAACAGATGACAGACTGGTTCGAGGTGAAGACCGGTGTCAGGCAAGGTTGCTTACTCTCAAATCCCATAGCGGTTGAGGTAGTAGATGTATTAGCAGTGATCGAAGGGATTATGGTTCGTGGATATTATTCAAGAAATAGAATCTAATGAAACGAACTTAAAAGAAAAGATAAAGGTAATGAGGAATTGAGAACACAAAGAATAAATGTACCAGCGCCATTGTGAACAGTTTTGAGCCATGTCATTCAGGGTCTCTAACGATCGATTACTACCATCTCGTGGGCCCCAACCAGATAGTCTACACCTACCAACATGGCTCACTCCACTTGTCAGTGACTTCATGGATTTGTGCCATGTTTTGTCCTGGCCACACCTAGCTTTCTTCCAACCTACTCCCACATCACAAAACATAGCTCGCCGAGCCAGTCGGTGGTTAGGCATACATAACGAATGTCCCAACCACAATTAGTAATATAAAACAACTGTTTAATGAATACTAGCTAGTTCGCTGAAAAATACTTACAGTGAAATTCTGGACTCACGTTTCGTCCTGTTTATAGGACTTGTCAGTTGGATGTACTTGCCAAATCCTAATGTCGATATTCAAATTGATTGCCTTTCGCTTCAAACCTGCAATGTATTGTCCAAGAGGTTACTGTTACACCTGCACATAAGCACGTCAACTTGATATGCTTGAACTATTACGAGTTTACCTAGTCGGAAAACGAGAGCGAGGATCGATAATCCGGTGACACAACATGCTTCTCAAATCCGATTATCCCAACCCCCATATTGAATAAAAATAAGAAGACATGATATGAAGTAGAACCTGTATTCTACAAGCATTCAGAAAGTACGAGGTCCGAATCCAGAAGAGAATCAGGATCCCGGACTAGGGATCCGGGACCAGGTCCTGGTCATAAAACGTTACAGATAATGCTTATTTATACATTTTGGTCGAATGAGAAACAGCATCGAAGTCTGTGACATTGACAGTTAAGACGACCAATAGGAAGTAACATTTGAAGTGACATTGATAGTCAGGACAACCAATAAGAAACAATATTGGAGCACATGACATTGATATCTAGGACGACCATAAAATTGACCAGTAGGAATTAACCAATAGGAATTTACCAATAATTTTCTTAGGATATTGGATGGATATCCTAACGGTTATTGAATCCATTATCGAGAAACAGCACTCAGGCTACTTACTAATATACCAATCCAGAGATTGGACAAATGTAGTGTATATAGTATCGAAAACGGGGAACAATTAAACCCTTTCATGCATTTAAATAGTAGTTATCTATAGTATATATATTCTTTTTAAATCTTTATTTTTTTTTAAGGAAGAATTAGGCGGTGCTAAAACTCATACCAGTTTATCAGGAGTAGCTCATCGTGCATTTGACAATGAAGTGGATGCCCTATTATCATTACGTAAATTTTTAACATATTTGCCATTATCCAATAAAGAAAAACCACCAATACACGAATGTCATGATCCAATTGATCGTTTAGTGCCTTCTTTAAATACAGTTATACCTTTGGAACCGACTAGTGCTTATGATATGACAGAGATTATAAAGGTAATGTTTTGTTTTTTCAGAAAAAAAATTTAAGTACAATGAACTTTTTGAGATGATGGAGAAAACTTGTAGCTCAGGTGGATGATTGTGGTGGTGGTGGTGTTTGGTTCTCTGAGCTGGTTAAGGTAGATCAGAGGACAAAATGACAAAGGAAGAAAAGCTAAATACCATCTACAAAATAAATAAATTGCTCAGACTGTGAAAAGCAACACTACATAGGACAAAGTGGACGACCTCTCCAGCTTCGTTTACGTGAATACCAATTAGCAGTCAAACGCCACGACAATTCTTCGCTTATATCAATACATTCTGACAATTATGAACATACATTCGATTGGAAAAAATGCTGAAATACTGGATAGGGGGAGGACAAAGAACACTAGAGAATTTTTAGAAGCATGGCACACAGGTCAATCAGCAATCAATAAACACATCGACATTGACCCAATTTATCAACCAATCAGAAAAATAATAGGGGGCATAGGATCAAGAAACAGATCAATAGGGGGGATACAATCAAAACAAATGTGCAAACAACGACAGGTTTAAGGTCAACAACAACAACCAATCAAGATCGAGGTTAGCAGAACAAGAAGCTACAGGTCAAACGTGGAGAAATTCGAATGCTTCACTTCTGCTATCTGAAGTTTGTGTTGATGGTGATGTTGTTCAGTAGAAGAACAATGAAAGCTTCACAACCAAAACAACCAGCTCAGAGAACGAAACACCACCACAGTCAACTTTTTTTCTACGTTAATATTCATTTTTACTGAACTATTGCGTAATTAGATGTAGTTGATAGTAAACCTTCTTACTTTGATTTTATGCGAGTCGGCATTTAATTTTAGGACAAGATGTATTTGATATAGTGTGAGTATTTATGCTCTTTGGTCAATTTTAACCTGAGTTACTTATTTTCACAGTTCGAGAGCTATTTGAACCATGACTAATTTCCTGTACGTATGAACTATTTACACACTTAAATAGTGATCAATTTTACTCTTTAGTAGTAATCGAATACTATCAATCAAGTTGTAATTTAATCATTAGTCTAAATGACTTGAAGTTTCATTCGGTTAATCAGATTTGAATTAATTATCACCACCCGACTGTAGCTACTACTTTGACGTGGTAGTCGGGCTTGTCTATCGTGATGACCCGACCGAGCTATATTGGCTGGAACATATGTTCCTGTAGGTGTTGCCATGTCAGGAAGGTCGATTGGATAACGGTGAGACTAAAAACAGCAACTCAAGGTCTAAGGTCGAAGTCATATTGCTGACTATAGAGGGGTGTGACAACAGTAAGGTGGTTGGTTCCTTCGGAAAACTAGCATCTGCAGCGATGCTGTCTTCGCACAAGGAAGGAAGGCGTTAGAAAATGTCGAGCCTAAAAATGTTACACCTCACTTTATCCCATGGATTTCCGTCTCCGGTGGTAGGGGTGCCCACTAAGGGCTTTCAAGAGCCGGAGCTAGCACTCAAAAAACCTTTCATAAAAAGGCCGTACGTGACCGACCTCAAGCAGTTGTCCCTTGGGCTCTGCGGTCACGCTCCCAGGTCTCTAAGACCAACATTAATCTACCTTCCTTTCCAGGTCCCTCAAGAAACAACCTTCCACGATTTGGACAGATGGAAAGTGACATCCGACCTCATACCTGTAACAGCACACGAGACCAAATGTTGTTGTTAATCACTAAATGAATCATTATTCGACCACTGTATTGAAGGAGAACACAGGTGAGGGCAACCGAATTGTATTTAACGAATATTACAGAGTTACTCAGTAAAATAGGCAAACCATATCGTAAACGGTTAATTTGCAAATCTTCAATCCATCATTAATCCGTTGTCTGACATTTCACTATTCATGCGTTTCATACAGATTCCATTGTGTTCCCACTCTTCCTTTCTTGATCTTCCCCCATCTTCTGCTGCAAGACATTACGTTTACACTCGCATCATATACTACTTATAAGTAGCGCACACCACACCACCATTAAAAATCTGGAAGCACTGGATGGCCGTTTCGTCCTGGTTTGAGACGAAATCGGCAGTGCGCATCCATGACTCCTGCCAGTCGCAGGATTTGCTCCCATGACATTGGACCTCGCGTGCGAACGCCTAACCTCTGGACCAATGGAACAGCATCTAACAGTGTTAATGTCTAACTCTGGTCACCTCACCCATTAGTCTTCGATAGTTGCTGCCTACACCCGATAGTGTTGAACCCCACTGATCACGTCTTCTCACTCGAACTTGGAGAGTTTCCTCACAAATCTAATCACTACTGAGCACATTTAAAGGTATCATTTATAACCCGTTTGTCAACTTCATTTTAATATCAGTGAAAGATAATGAAATATAATCTCTCTTTATTTAAAAAAGTACATTGAAATAATCGCTTGATACTGTATACTCAGTCAATGAATAAGGTGCTATCTAATTTGTACTAAAACCTTACTTCATAATTGTTGAGGATGTTAGATCACCAGAACTCGCTTGATAAATATCTTTATTTTGGTTTTTATTCATGGACCGATCAGTTGACCTTGAAATCACATTTCCCTCCAGGAAAATCTTTGGCTGTGATTGGTTACTGTGTCATTTTAGTGTGCTATTTTTGTGACTGTCCCAAGGACGTCTCTATAGAGTATAAATAGACGCAATTTGAGTGCTTGGATTGATTGTATGCTGGCTGGGTGTTTGTAGAATACACTCTTCATGCTATATCAAGACTTCTTACTGGTACAATTTGGTCAATCGGATCACAGTAACCTACCTGGACGCTGATTCATTGTTTTGTTCTCGTTATTCGACTAAAGTGAACTCGTAATAGTTTTTTAAGCATACCTAGAGACGAGCGTAACAACAATCAAAACAATTTATTGATTAGTTGCTTATTTACTTACTTACGCCTATTACCCCTAATGGGTCGCCGACCTGTGAATTATTATTTTTCTGATTAGCGATTTTTTTTTCTAGTGAGTTGGTATTCTACGTGATGAGGTCACACTAACCCCACCATACCCAACCATCCTACTCCTTTATCCGGGCTTGGGACCGGCAGTAACCCTAGAAATGCCTCAGGCGGAGTATATTGATTACTTAGTGATATACATAATATGTGTTGTAGTAGCTTACAGAATTTCACTATACTTTGTCTATAACTATTCTCTTTTATTGTTGTTATCATTTCAAATTGTCTAGGATATTATTGATGAAGGTGATTTCTTTGAGATTATGCCTAATTATGCACAAAATATTATCATTGGTTTAGCACGATTAGCTGGTCGTACTGTTGGAATTGTAGCAAATCAACCAAAAGTATCCGCTGGTTGTTTAGATATTAATGCATCAGTGAAAAGTGCACGATTTGTTCGTTTCTGTGATGCATTCAATATCCCATTGATTACATTCGTTGATGCACCAGGATTTCTGCCGGGTAAAATGCAAGAATGCAATGGGATTATAAGACATGGTGCAAAATTGATTTTTGCCTATGCTGAAGCAACTGTACCAAAACTTACAATAATCACTAGAAAATCATATGGTGGAGCGTATTGTGTCATGAGTTCGAAACATTTACGTGGTGATATTAATTATGCTTGGCCAACTGCTGAAGTTAGTTTTTTTTTTTAAATAATTGATAAAGAATTTTTGAACTGTTATTCACTTGTAACCATGAATCGATCAATGTTAGACAACCATTAAAAACCTGCAAGCACTGGACGGCCGTCAAGTCCTGGTATAGGACTACTCAGCAGTGCGCATCCACGACCCCTGCAGCCCGTAGGATTCGAACCCAGGGCCTACGGTATTGTAGGCGAACGCCTAACCATTGGACCACTGAGCCGGTATCTAACGGTGTTAATGTCTAACTTGATCAAATTCACGGAGTTGCGCAACCTCATACCCTGTATACATCCGGACAGGTTTGTACTTCACTGGTCACGACTTCCCACTAGAACTCGGAGAAGATTCCTCACCAAGCTAGTCACTAGTGGACACATTTAATTGCATTGCGGGGTTGTTGTGAAGATTGTTAAGTTTTATTTGTAACCATGAATCGATCAATGTTAGACCACCATTAGAAACCTGGAAGCACTGGACGGCCATTTCATCCTGGTATGGGGCTCATCAGCAGTGCGCATCCACAATTCATGGTTACAAATAAAACTTAACAATCTTCACAACAACCCCACAATGGAACTGTTATTCAGTCAGTCAACAACAACATAGAACTTCGTACTTGCGTACGTACGTACGTACATCAGTTCATGTTGCCATACCACATTAGCACAGACAAATGCAATTATGACTTCAAATCCCATTGTAGTTAAGGTAATAGCAGGTATTAGCAGTTATCCGAGGAATGAGGGTTCGTGGATATTATTCAAGAAGTAGAATCTAGTGAAATAAACTTAAAAATACAAGGTTAAAGGTGATGACGAATTAAGAAGTTTAGACCTACGCCTTCGCAAACGGGTTTTAAACTGTTATTACTTGTTTACTAAGATTTTGCTACATAGATTTACCTTAAAGTGATTTTTTCATTAACCCTGATACTTGATATGGTGAATACTGAATACAACCTTTAGTGTTAGGACGAGTAAAACTGTGTCTACCCACGACTTTTGCTACTCACAAGAATCGAACCAAAGACCTTCGGTCTTACGAGCGAATGCTTAGCTTCTGAACCACTGGACTGGACATCGAACGGTGTTACGTCGAACTTTCATCAATCTTAGGAATTATATGCAACCTCATCCATTGTCTTTGGTAGTTACTGACTACATCTGACAGGATTAAATTCTACTGGTCACATCTTACCGGAACTCTGAGAATTTCGCCATGAAGCTAGTCACTGATGGGCACATTTTTCGATTTTGCTTTGAGAGTATTATAATCGTCCAATCCGTAAGCAGAGTGATGTTGCACAGTTATCCAATCACTCTATTCCATGCTGATACTTTATTAATCCTATCTGTCTGTGATTGGATAAAACCTTTTCGGCTTCTTTAGATCTTCTGTAGGTTTTATTGCACTCTTTGGGAGCCACCCTAAACACTTCTCGCGTAATTTACTGGTTACTTTATTGTTTAACATGTTCATATCATCTATACTATTAAAAATTCATCACATACTTCGTATTATAGACAAGGATATATGATCGAATTGTCTTAACATATAATTTAGGTACTTGAATTTTACATTTTAAAAATGAATTTTTTTAAACTCAGACTACCAAATAATGTTAAGTATTATTCAATGTCAATTGTGTATTTGTTTCTGTGTTCTAAAGAAATGAATGTTTCAATCGTTAAACTTTCATTCATTAAGTTGAATAGTCCAACTGCAATGCACACTCACTTCTGGGTTACAAAAACCACTAGTTTCCCCCATGGGAGGGTGTACTTTCCGGCTGAGGTTGTGAGACAAACTCGATCTTTACCTTCACGTGGGGTCTGAGGGCCCCGGTCAATTGTATCGGCACAAGGCATTTGGAGGCCAGACGGTTGGAATAGCTTCTGGTTAGTGCACTGCTGGGTAGCTCGGTAATCCGTTCAGGGCGCCTCGTCTAGCTGGGAAAGCCCGCCTTGCCAATTGGGGATTGTAGATAGTGGATTGGTTGGAGGGATCTCGTTGATTCATATATATATATATATATATATATATATATATATATATATATATATATATATATATATATATATATTGTCAGGTTCAATGCGAAGTACTGCATGTTGGGAAGTCCAGTTTTAATCTCAATATGCACGCATCCGATATACACGGTCAACCTACTGTAGTGAAGGAGAACACAGGTGAGGTCAACCGAATTGTATTTAACGAAAATTACACAGTTACTCAGTAAAATAGGAAAACCATATCGTAACCGTTAATTTGCAAATCTTCAATCCATTGTCTGACATTTCACTCACTGTTCATGCGTTTCATACAAATTCCATTGTGTTCCCACTCTTCTTCCTTTCACTTGATCTTCCCCCATCTGCTGCCAGACATTACGTTTACACTCGCGTCATATACTACTTATAAGTAGCGCGCACCACACTACCACTTGAATGAGAACACTAGAAATAAATAATAATGAAATAAATTGTATTCACAATCTGAAGCACAACGTATATAAACTCATTAGGATATGTACGTATATATATATATATATATATATTTCCATTAAGTAATGGAGCCAGAACTTGACCAATAACGTTTATGTCCACCTACTCCTACCCTACCATTTAACCTCAAACTAGTAATGTAATGAGTCTGTCCATATTTTCCTGTTACAATCTATTTATTAATTAATTTATTTAAACTAGATTTACTACTAACAATACTACTAGTAATATTCATTAACCAACCAATCAGGATGCTTTTTCACTTCTATATTTAACAGATTGCTGTAATGGGTGCAAAAGGTGCTGTGAAAATTATTTTTCGCAATACACCTAATCAACATGAAGCTGAAGAAGAATATATGAAAACATTCATTAATCCATTTGCAGCACTTACTCGTGGCTATATTGATGATGTTATTGAACCGGATGTAACACGCGCACGTTTATGTCATGATTTACAATGGTTGGAAAGAAAGACATTAAAGAATCCATGGAAAAAACATTCGAATATGCCTCTGTGAATCAATGTGTGGAGTGAGGTGAGGTGGGGTGGGGATTGGTAGATTTTTTTCCCTAATTTCTTAAGAAAACTTTTTTTGTCTTTTCTCAGTGTAAAATGCATTTCTACTATTTGACTTCTTTTTATTTTGTTTCTTCTTTTTGTATTCAGATTTGTATTGTAGTACTTATTTTTTTCTTAGAAATATTTATATACTACTGATAAAACTACTAACTACTAGATTTTGATGTCTAAATAAATATTTATTATACATTGTATTCAATTCATTATGTGTGTGATTTGTAAATAGCATCTGACGATTATTAAACTCTGCCTGGATTCCTTCTAGTTCCAAGCCCCGGATAAATGAGGAGGAGGGTTGGGTATAATGGGGTTAGTGACCCCCATCTCGTAGAATATCAACTTGCTAAAAACAATCACTAACCAGGAAAATAATAATTTTTGTAGTCGGCGGCCTATGCTCCATTAGGCGTAACAGGCGTGAGTAAATAAGTAGTTTGAGC